AAATTTCATCGGTCGACCGGACCGGTCGACCGACAGCTTTCTGTCGGCCAGGAAACTTTTGACCTCAGGTTCGGTCGACCGTACCGGTCGACCGAAAACTGACATTCCAGAAAAAATCGGTTTTAGAGCTGATTTTAAAACACTGTTTAAAAATATCAAATAAATTCCAAAAAATGTAAAACTTTGGGGAATGATTGTAGACATGATAATAAACATGCTACAACGACTGGTTTCAAAAAAGGACTTCCCAAATGAAAAATATCATCATTTTGCAAAATAGTCCAAAACATGAAAATGTAAACACATGAGTTTGATGTTTTGACCTAAACCAACTTTTAAAACTTTACAAAATAATTTTATAGCTACAAACTAAGAATACAATATTTTCACAAATACAATAGAAAATGAAACCTATGAGTATGTATATGAAAATATATTTGTTTCATATCTAAGTAGATAAACCAAATCACAATATGAAACATGTAATTTCATATTTATAAACATAAAAACTAAAACTTGTGTTGTATATATATGTGACTACATATATATACAAGGAAACCAATAAAATGTGTGTGTATAGATAATTGAGCTTAGAGTACTTAACACACATAATATAAATCCTAAACTACATTACCCAAGCAATCTTGATCTTCAATTAAGCTTGACTTGGTACACGTGCGGATGAAGCTTGAACTTGATCTTTAACTTGAATTGTTGTATAGGCTTCACTCCACAATTCCGCCAACCTCCTCTTGATATGATCGTTGAAGCTCTATTCCATCCATCCTCCAACTACGTTGTTTGTCTACAAAATATAGGAATGCACAAACACTAGACAAATAACATTAGTGGTAAATTATTTGTTAAACATCATCAAAACAAGAAGGCCAACAGTTCTGATATTCTAAATATTTATAAAGACTTTACAAATATGATCCACACTCAGTTTCATAAACGTATAAAGATATTTCGCTCTGATGGTGCCTGTGAATATATCTCTTCAGCAATGCAATCTATTTTAAAATCGCATGGCACTCTCTCTCAACAATCTTGTCCACACACTCATGAACAAAATGGTGTTGCTGAGAGAAAACATCGTCACATTCTCGATACCACTAGAGCTCTTCTGATATCAGCATTTGTACCTCGATATCTCTGGGCAGAAGCACTTCTGACTGCTGTTTACCTTATAAATATTACTCCATCTTCTGTATTAGCTGACACTTCTCCATATTTTCAACTTTTTAAATCTCAGTTTCGCTATTCTCTTCTTCGCACTTTTGGATGTGTCTGTTTTGTCTTACTTCCAACTCATGAACGAGATAAACTATCTCCACGCACTGCACGATGTATCTTTCTTGGCTATAGCACTGTTCACAAGGGGTATCGTTGTTATGAACCTACCACTCGAAGGCTTCGTATTGCCCGTCATGTGACCTTCTTTGAGAATATTTCATATTATACTACTTCAGATTCAGATATATCATTTCTTCAACCCCCTTCATTACCTTCCACTACTATACTTGTATCAGTAGTACCTGTACCTTTGTCTACTCAACCGACTCCCTCCTTCACTCTAATGACATCAAACGATAGTGCTCTTGATTCATCCACACCACCTGAATATCCACCTACTACATCTCCTTTGCAGCAAGATACTCCTACTGATGTCACCTCTACATCTGTGCCAGCTTCTCTCGATGTGATTCCTCCCCCTCGTCGCAATCCTCCACGAGATCGTCATCCCCCTGCTCGGTATGCTCAATGTGTCACTAGCTCATATTCTCCTGAATTTGCCTCTTTTCTTGCTGCTATTCACTCTATACATGAGCCTAACTCATATTCTGAGGCAGTTAAGTATCCAGAATGGCAACAAGCAATGACTGAAGAATTGGAGGCTTTTCGTCGAACTAATACTTGGGATCTTGTTCCTCTGCCTTCTGGTGTTAAACCGATAAGCTGCAAATGGATTTATAAGGTTAAGACTCGATCTGACAGTTCTATTGAAAGGTACAAAGCTCGTCTTGTAGCTCGGGGATTCTCACAAGAGTATGGCATTGACTATGAAGAAACTTTTGCTCCTGTTGCAAAAATGACATCCATTCGCACTCTCATTGCTGTTGCAGCTGCAAAACATTGGCCTTTGTATCAAATGGATGTTAAAAATGCTTTTCTTAATGGCGATCTATCTGAGACAGTGTACATGCAGCCGCCTCCTGGCTTTTCTGCTCCTCTAGGACATGCATGTCGCCTTCGTCGTGCTATATATAGTTTCAAACAGGCTCCTCGGGCTTGGTTTGAACGATTTCGACAATCTCTTCTTTCTATTGGTTTCATTGAGAGCTTAGCTGACTACGCTCTATTTTATCGATCCTCAGCCTTCGGTACAGTCATTCTATTACTTTATGTTGATGACATGATAATCACTGGGAGTGATTCTTCTGCCATTACTTCCTTAAAGCAGCATCTTCAGAGACAATTTGAGATGAAAGATCTTGGATCCCTTCGTTACTTCTTGGGTATTGAGGTTGCTTCCTCCTCCCGAGGCTATCTTCTCTCTCAGCAGAAGTACATTGCAGACATTCTTGAGCGAGCTACTCTCAGTGATCCTTCTATTGCTACCTCTCCTCTCTCCACACCGATGGAAATGAACTTGAAGCTTCGACATGATGATGGTGATCCCTTATCTCAGCCTACTCGATATAGGGAACTTGTTGGAGCATTGGTTTATCTTTCAGCAACACGTCCGGATATCGCCTATGCAGTACACATCTTGAGCCAGTTTGTCAGTAATCCGACTTCCATCCACTATGCAGCTCTCATTCGGGTTCTTCGATATCTACGTGGCACTATAACCCAGTCATTATTTTTCCCTTCAGACTCATCTTTATCTCTTCGTGCATATTCTGATGCTGGATGGGCTGATGATCCGGACACTCGGCGTTCCACTACTGGCTTTTGTATTTTTCTGGGATCATCTCCCATCTCTTGGCGTAGTAAACGTCAAGCCGTTGTCTCTCGTTCTAGTACGGAGTCCGAGTACAGGGCGTTGGCAGACACCACAGTTGAGCTAAAATGGCTCCGCACTCTTCTGCGAGATCTTGATGTCTTTATTACTTCCCCTATCACTTTATATTGTGATAATCAGAGTGCCATCTCCATTTCCACAAATCCGGTCTTTCATGAGCGTACCAAACATATTGAAGTAGATTGTCATGTGGTTCGACAGGAGCATGTTGCTGGAAACATTACACTCACATATATTGTTTCTAAGGATCAAGTTGCAGATTTGTTTACCAAGGCTCAAACAATCTCTCAATTTCGTTCCTTCTTTAGTTCCAACTTGCGGGGGAAGGGATTCAAAGTCAGAGCAAAAAGAATGGCTCTCTCCTCTACAGTTTACACTATTTGGATGGAACGCAACAGGAGGATTTTTCAGGGAAAGTTCTGTGAAGTTGAGCATCTCATCAAGACTATCAAATTAGATTTGATGACAGTGATTCTTAATAGCACTTTAAAATAGATTGCATTGCTGAAGAGATATATTCAAAGGCACCATCAGAGCGAAATATTATGCAGTACACATCTTGAGCCAGTTTGTCAGTAATCCGACTTCCATCCACTATGCAGCTCTCATTCGGGTTCTTCGATATCTACGTGGCACTATAACCCAGTCATTATTTTTCCCCTCAGACTCATCTTTATCTCTTCGTGCATATTCTGATGCTGGATGGGCTGATGATCCGGACACTCGGCGTTCCACTACTGGCTTTTGTATTTTTCTGGGATCATCTCCCATCTCTTGGCGTAGTAAACGTCAAGCCGTTGTCTCTCGTTCTAGTACGGAGTCCGAGTACAGGGCGTTGGCAGACACCACAGTTGAGCTAAAATGGCTCCGCACTCTTCTGCGAGATCTTGATGTATTTATTACTTCCCCTATCACTTTATATTGTGATAATCAGAGTGCCATCTCCATTTCCACAAATCCGGTCTTTCATGAGCGTACCAAACATATTGAAGTAGATTGTCATGTGGTTCGACAGGAGCATGTTGCTGGAAACATTACACTGACATATATTGTTTCTAAGGATCAAGTTGCAGATTTGTTTACCAAGGCTCAAACAATCTCTCAATTTCGTTCCTTCTTATCCAAACTCTCGGTTTTTAATCCACCGTGACTTTGCGGGGGGCTATTAAAGTCATCATCTCCGGCTGTTAATGTCAACACCACCGGCCTACGGCTACAGTACCGCCGCCCTATGGCCGCCCTAGCTACAGTGCTACCTATCGTTCAGCTCATATTATATTGTGTAATCTTGTGTATATATAGCTTGTAATCTACCCAAACACATAATCAAGAAATAAGAGTTCTCTTCAATACCTGTTTAACAGTTACCATGACCACGATGAGTAAATATGAATATATAGGTTCACAATACAAACCTAGAAAAATCAACTCTTGGCAAGCAGACATCATCGTGGTCATGGTAACATGATTGGCTCTCATATGACTGGAAGCCATCTCATTGAAGAGCTGTATACAATCACTCCACCTTCCATTACGAGAATAACCAACCATCAAACAATTCCAAGACTTAATATTTTTCTCTGGATTCTGATCAAAAATCTCCCTAGCAGCCGACATATTGCCATTGTCAGCATAACTGGATATCATGATACTCCATGAAATTGAATCTCTGTGAACCATTTCATCAAAAACACTTTTAGCAGTCTCCAAATCACCAACTTTGGCATAATATGCAATCATAGTATTGCACGCTGCAACATTTTTTTCCGGCGTAGTCCTGAATAGATGTTTTGTTTCTTGTTTGTAACCAAACTTGGAATACATATCTAGCAGTGTTGTTACGACATAAGGAGAGGAACTAAATCCAAGTTTAGTTGAATGAGCATGGATTTGTTCCCCTTCACTGATGGCCTTAAGAAGTGAACAAGCTTTAAGCACAGAAGACAAATTAAGTAAAATTGTTTGGATGAAC